GGAGAAGGAGGCATTTCCTCAGTCTTGCTTCCCCCAGTGATCAGACTGTACATTGTAACTTTGTAGGAGTTAGCATTTCCTTTTCCCTGTTTGGCGTGTGTCATGAATGACGGCGAGATGTAGACATTCATGAAAACACAAGCCAACATCTACTTGTCTCTTGCAATTGAGCCCGGAGCCACCTGCCTACCATCCCAGGGAGAGGGACTACAGTAGTAGTTTGGATTATGACATGGAGACAGGCTACTTCTCTCCGGGTATTGAGCCCAGACCCCCTGGTTGGGGAAGAGACTGAGGAAATTCTTCATCCTGCCTGCAGCAGACTCATGACCCAGTCTCAGGATATTCACCATGCAGCTTACTAAACAGAATAAAGCTCAATGTGTAGTTAGTAGCAAAAATAAATGAAATTATAAGTAGATGCACTAATAGTAACAAGTCAGCTGCTGATCCTAATGTATATATATATGAACCAGGTATACAGCAGCTGGGATCTGATTCGTTGTTATAGCAACGCCGCCATTTTTTTCGTATTCCACATTTATAAAACACCTCCAAGACCTCGCTGCTTACTACGAGTTTACTTTGCGCTGCGTGTTTCTTCCGCTCACATTCAATAAGTTAGGTCTCTTGAGGGGGGGATGGGGATGGGGATGGGGATGGGGGGGGGGGGGGGGTTGGGGAGCGCTAAAAATAAAATTAATATTAAATTTTCCCTTCTATTTATAATAATAAAGTTAATAAATGAGAAGGCTCAGGTGGTGCTGCCTGCGAAAATCAATAGAGCGGACAGCGCGGCGGAATATAATTCAAGTAATATATTACCGGCGGTATATGAAGAACTTCATCAGCATAGATATATAGCGCTTTCCTCGCGGGGCCTCGCCGAGCGCCACAAATATAAACGGGGAAATGATATGTCATGAACGTAAAGCAGAGCGCGGCTCGCCCCAACATATCCACGAAAAAAAAAAAAGATCCAGGGTCAGGGGCGGACTGACCATTTGGAAACTCGGGTACTGCCCGAGGGCCCGGGGTCAGTAGGGGGCCCCATGAGATGCCCCTGGTACCTTTTTCATAGGCTTTTTTGAGTTCGGGAAAGGACACAGGTGCCCCATGATCCCCTATTGCCCGGGGGGCCCCATGAGTTGTCAGTCCGCCCCCGTTCAGGGTGCGCGTTCCTTTAAAAACGCCTGGGACCAGCGCCAAATTTGGAGGCCAAACCGCGCTCATAGAAGGTCATTCTGCGTTCTCTTTTCTTGGTCTCGTTCGGTCAAATCTCCGGGGAATACTCCGGGGCAACACCAGTCATTCCCCCGGGGCAGTTCTAGTAAATATAACAAAAACAAAAACAAACCTGCGCCACAAGAACTAGGAGAAACGTCTTAAAGGGAATGCTGCTGTGCCGTGAGAAGAATCAAAAAATGAGTGAAACAATAAAACAGCACAAAACATGAAATGAATCAAAAGTAATTATACACAAATCATAATAAATTCTGTGTTTATAAAATAAATGTCCAAAACCACCAAAATGAAAAAAAATATATAAAAAATATACACAGTTGTCATCGTCAGGGATGGCTGAAGGCTTTCCCTAAATGTCAGTTTGTAAGACTGAAGCAGAACTGAGACAATGAGGTTGAATTTGAGGATCAATCAGAAGTTCTAATGCAGAGATTTGAGGAAAAGGAATATAAGACTCAGAGCCCTCATAAGATCCGGGAACAGGTGAGGAATATGAAGAGGAATTATTGGAGAAGAGGGATAGGAAAGTGGATAAATTCGACTTAGCCGTCATCACGGGTTATTCTAGGCAATATAAAGCCATGGAGGGAATTATTAGGAAGCACGGAACGATTTTATTACAAGATGATATACAGGTAAAATGTTACCCAAGGGACCGCGATTCATTTATAAAGACCACCCACCCGAAGAACCAAACTTGTAAAAAATGTTCCGGACCCACCTTTAACCACCTTCCTTCCGGCAGGGGGACATTTATAAACGGCCTCCCCCCCCCTGCTTGTGTGTGCTCCATGGGAGTATGCAGCACCGCGAACCGGTGCCCGCTGTGTCCTTTCGGACACAATGGAACACCGATCGTCGTACGGGATCACTGATTGGCCTTATGTGATCACTGATTGGCTCATGTGATCGCTGATTGGCCTCATGTGATCGCTGATTGGCCACATGTGATCGCTGATTGGCCTCATGTGATCACTGATTGGCTCATGTGATCGCTGATTGGCCTCATGTGATCGCTGATTGGCCACATGTGATCGCTGATTGGCCTCATGTGATCACTGATTGGCCTCATGTGATCGCTGATTGGCCACATGTGGTCACTGATTGGCCTTATGTGATCACTGATTGGCCACATGTGATCACTGATTGGCCACATGTGATCACTGATTGGCCTTATGTGATCACTGATTGGCCACATGTGATCACTGATTGGCCACATGTGATCACTGATTGGCCTGATGTGCTCTCTGATTGGCCTCATGTGATCGCTGATTGGCCACATGTGATCACTGATTGGCCACATGTGATCACTGATTGGCCACATGTGATCGCTGATTGGCCTTATGTGATCACTGATTGGCCACATGTGATCGCTGATTGGCCTCATGTGATCACTGATTGGCCACATGTGATCACTGATTGGCCACATGTGATCGCTGATTGGCCTTATGTGATCACTGATTGGCCTTATGTGATCATTGATTGGCCTTATGTGATCACTGATTGGCCTCATGTGATCACTGATTGGCCTTATGTGATCACTGATTGGCCACATGTGATCATTGATTGGCCAATCAGTGATCACATGCAGAGTAGTAAGTAAGATGTCTGTCAGGGATCCGGGTATGACCAGAAATGTGTGGGAACACAGGCGTGGTCAGGGCTGGAGAGGTGGAATGGTCAGGCAGGCCGTATGGGTCTGTAATGCACCGCCTGGCAGTACCTCTAGCAACCCACGGAATAGGATTCCCCAGAGTGCGGAGCCTAAGTCCCAGTCTGCTTGTTCTCCAGGGCCCCTGATGGTGGGGATGGACTTGGAGCAGACAGAGACCAGGTCGCGGCCCCTGAGTACACCCACCCGTGGTAGAGTGATCCATCAGAGGTATATTCGGGATAAGAGCCTGACGTGAAGAGGCGGATGGGTCCGTGCAGGACAGATGGATGGCTGAGCAGAAGCGTAATCAGACAGGCCGGGTTGGTAACGGTGGGGACAGCGGGGTACAAGGCAGCAGGCACAGAATAGTCGGGTCAGTCGCCGGGTCAGTAACAGGAGATCAGATCCAATGAGGGTATCCAAGAGAAGTCAGACAGGCCAGAGGTCAGGGCAGGAGAAGTCAGCAGAGGTCATGATCAAAGCAGGGTCAGCAACAAATCAGATATGCAGGAACACAGGATACCAGGTACAGGGGCTCATGAGAAACAAACACCAAGGCCCTGATTGCAGGTCTGGCCATTGCTTAAATACACCCCTGCAATCAGCCTCAGGTGATGGCTTGATTGCAGGAGTGAGATTCTAGCTGCTGAGAGCACCCGCTGGCCAGCACTGGTACTGCAGCCCACAAGGCAGGTGAGCCCCAGCACCACCTGTGCTGAGTCCATTCCTGACAATGTCACTTCTGACATCATTGCTTACTACATGTGAAATCTGTGAATGATCACCGAGATCACATGGTACAGGGCCATTCACAACAGCCTTGTACCATGTCACAAGCTGTGACCAATCAGAGCTCACACAGTAGTCTTCAATTGCTGCAGGAATGCAGGCAGAGAGGAGAAATGATTGTTTTTACAGCCTTTATGGGTGTAAAAGCAATCAGTGTAAAAAAAAAATCTTCATCACCCCCCACAAGTAGTGCAGTGTCACCATGGAAGGGGGGGAAAGTGTCCGGACTGGAAGGGGGGGAAAGTGTCCGGACTGGAAGGGGGGGAAGTGTCCGGACTGGAAGGGGGGGAAGTGTCCGGACTGGAAGGGGGGGAAAGTGTCCGGAAAGGAAGGGGGGAAAAAGTGTCCGGACTGGGGGGGGGGGGGGGGGGGGGGGGAAGTGTCCGGACTGGAAGGGGGTGAAAGTGTCAGGACTGGAAGGGGGTGAAAGTGTCCGGACTGGAAGGGGGGGAAAGTGTCCGGAAAGGAAGGGGGTGAAAGTGTCCGGACTGGAAGGGGGGGAAGTGTCTGGACTGGAAGTGGGTGAAAGTGTCCGGAAAGGAAGGGGGTGAAAGTGTCCGGACTGGAAGGGGGTAAAAGTGTCCGGACTGGAAGGGGGGGGGGAAGTGTCCGGACTGGAAGGGGAGGAAAGTGTCCGGAAAGGAAGGGGGTGAAAGTGTCCAGACTGGAAGGGGGTGAAAGTGTCCGGACTGGAAGGGGGGGAAAGTGTCCAGACTGGAAGGGGGGGAAAGTGTCCAGACTGGAAGGGGGGGGGGGAAGTGTCCGGACTGGAAGGGGGTGAAAGTGTCCGGACTGGAAGGGGGGGAAAGTGTCCGGACTGGAAGGGGGTGAAAGTGTCCGGACTGGAAGGGGGGGAAAGTGTCCGGACTGGAAGGGGGGGAAAGTGTCCGGACTGGAAGGGGGGGGAAGTGTCCGGAGTGGAAGGGGGTGAAAGTGTCTGGACTGGAAGGGGGTGAAAGTGTCCGGACTGGAAGGGGGGGGAAAGTGTCCAAACTGGAAGGGGGGGAAAGTGTCCGGACTGGAAGGGGGTGAAAGTGTCCGGACTGGAAGGGGGGGAAAGTGTCCGGACTGGAAGGGGGGGAAAGTGTCTGGACTGGAAGGGGGGAAAGTGTTCGGACCGGAAGGGGGGGAAAGTGTCCGGACCGGAAGGGGGGGAAAGTGTCCGGACTGGAAGGGGGGGGAAGTGTCCGGACTGGAAGGGGGTGAAAGTGTCCGGACTGGAAGGGGGGGGAAAGTGTCCCGAACTGGAAGGGGGGGAAAGTGTCCGGACTGGAAGGGGGGGGGGAAAGAGTCCGGACTGGAAGGGGGGGAAAGTGTCCGGACTGGAAGGGGGGGAAAGTGTCCGGACTGGAAGGGGGGAAAGTGTCCGGTCTGGAAGGGGGGGGAAGTGTCCGGACTGGAAGGGGGAAAAGTGTCCGGACTGGAAGGGGGGTGAAAGTGTCTGGACTGGAAGGGGGGGGGAAGTGTCCGGACTGGAAGGGGGAAAAGTGTCCGGACTGGAAGGGGGGGGAAAGTGTCCGAACTGGAAGGGGGGGAAAGTGTCCGGACTGGAAGGGGGGGAAAGTGTCCGGACTGGAAGGGGGGAAAGTGTTCGGACCGGAAGGGGGGGAAAGTGTCCGGACTGGAAGGGGGGGGGTGAAAGTGTCCGGACTGGAAGGGGGGGAAAGAGTCCGGACTGGAAGGGGGGAAAGTGTCCGGAATGGAAGGGGGGGAAGTGTCCGGACTGGAAGGGGGGGAAGTGTCCGGACTGGAAGGGGGGGAAAGTGTCCGGACATGAAGTGGTTAAAGAGGGTGACCTTTCTTGATCAGGTGGGTTTTTGTTGGTAGATGTCTGGCCTGTAGGAATATGAAAGGGGAACATAATACAATAAAATGTACACAATTTCAGTCGCAGAGAAGTGGGGAGTGTTTAATATTCGTACATTTTTGTCTTGTGGAAGGTCCCGTGTCACTTACCTTTTAGAGTGTCCGTGTCACTTACAGTATGTGGGGAGAATCTCTAGAAAATTGTCTACTAGATTGGGAGAACACATTAAAAAAATACAAAAAAAGGGGTTTGAACATCACAGATTATCCAATCATTTTAGGAAGTTCCACAATAAGGATCCGTCTGTCTGGAGATTTTGTGGGATTGGTAGGGTGGAACCCCCCGGGTGTGGGGGGTCATTGGACCAGATCAATCTCAAAAAATGAAACTAAATGGATTCTGTCATTAAAGACATTGACCCCTAAAAGGCTCAATGTGGAAATTGATTTAAATGGTTTTTCATCTGATTGGTGGGTTTTTATTGTCCGCCATTTATAGGGATGGATGGGTCCATTATCCTGTTACGGGAATAAATAACGCCGAGCGGTCGCACATTTGCGTGCAATTAAGAAAAACATATGTGCTGAGCGCGCTCCCAGCACACGTGTCCGGTACTCACAGAAAGGTCCCGATCTCCTCTTTCGATCGGGACCTTTCCTGATCATGTGAGGGTGAATCACGGTGGTCACATGACCCTAAAACCCCGCCCCGCCTCCCGGCTTCTGAAACCCTTAAAGGGCCTTTCGATGTGTTTTAGGTTGTGGGTGGAGCCTGGTTTGCGGAGTCGTCTGGCGGCTTCTTCTATCTCTCGGAGACTCCAGTCGGTAGCTGTAGAGTTTCGGGAACTCTGGAACTGGAAGTTCAGCAGCTGCAACGCAGAAGTTTTAGTAGCTGCAGGACAACGCACATTCGCCATCCCCCCTCCCCCCCCCCTCGGTGTCATGCGTCTACCTGGCTGGCGCATTAGTCAAGCAAGCTCCTCTCCATTCTATAGACTCTGAAGGCTCCTTTATCACCCCCTTGTACAAACAACCCCCATTACACCAGGATCCCAGCGTGTCAAGCTGGCCGTTTTGTTCCTCGGCTCTAATTAAATGCGAGCTAATTAGTTATGGATTTCTGCGGTCGTTTATTAATGAGTCCCAAGCAGATGTGCCGCGTTTTATCAATGGGCTATTTCTGTCCCGGGTGGCGCGCGCCTCGGCGGTGGATGAGATGCCCTTCGCTGGGTAACACCTTATCTCGCTCGTCACATGATCCCAGAGCGCTAATTAATTTTCTTGTCTCCCGCTGATTTCCGGTGAGCCGCGTTCTGCGCAGAAGAATGCAGGTGTGTGGCTCCTCCTGCGCCTGAATCCCGCGTCTAAATTTAGAACACGTTACAGGCAGACGGCAGAATTCTTAGTTCTGTAGATATTCAAATGAAGAAAAATATCTTATCAATGTTGTTTCTGTCTACAGGCTGTAAATATGTATTGTACACGGATGGGTCCTATGGTGGCAGGTACACTATATTGCCAGAAGTATTGGCCCCGCCCTCCAAATCATGTGTCTCAGGTGTTCCAATCCCCTCCATATCATGTGATTCAGGTGTTCCAATCCCCTCCAATCGTGTGATTCAGGTGTTCCAATCCCCTCAATATCATGTGATTCAGGTGTTCCAATCCCCTCCAATCGTGTGATACAGGTGTTCCAATCCCCTCCAATCGTGTGATTCAGGTGCTCCAATCCCCTCCATATCATGTGATTCAGGTGTCCCAATCCCTTCCTAATCTTGTGATTCAGGTGTTCCAATCCCCTCCATATCATGTGATTCAGGTGTCCCAATCCCTTCCTAATCTTGTGATTCAGGTGTTCCAATCCCCTCCATATCATGTGATTCAGGTGTTCCAATCCCCTCCCAATCATGTGATTCAGGTGTTCCAATCCCCTCCATATCATGTGATTCAGGTGTTCCAATCCCCCCTCCATATCATGTGATTCAGGTGTCCCAATGCCGTCCCAATCATGTGATTCAGGTGTTCCAATCCCTTCCATATCATGTGATTCAGGTGTTCCAATCCCCTCCATATCATGTGATTCAGGTGTTCCAATCCCCTCCATATCATGTGATTCAGGTGTTCCAATCCCCTCCATATCATGTGATTCAGGTGTTCCAATCCCCTCCATATCATGTGATTCGGGTGTTCCAATCCCCTCCATATCATGTGATTCAGGTGTTCCAATCCCCTCCATATCATGTGATTCAGGTGTTCCAATCCCCTCCATGGACACAGGTGTATACAATCAAGCCCCTAGGCATGCAGACGGCTTCTACAAACATTGGTGAAAGAATGGGTCGCTCTCAGGAGCTCAGTGACTCCAAGCGTGGTCCCGTGATAGGTGGCCACCTGTGCAATAAGTCCATCCGTGACATTTCCTGGCTACTAAAATCTGCACCGATTACTTACTGTGTTCATTCTGGAAAGGAAGGGGCAATTACTGGAACCGATGCCCAGTATGGTTCTTTCTGCAGCAGCTGAAAGCCAGCGGAAGGGAGAAGAGTAGAAGCCGGCTTTCAGCTGCTGCAGAGAGAGCCATACAGGGGATCGGTTCCAGTAATTGCCCCTTCCTTTCCAGAATGAACACAGTAAGTGATCAGTGCAGATTTTAGTAGCCAGGAAATGTCACGGATGGACTTATTGCACAGGTGGCCACCTATCACGGGTACCCCCTTATCCATGCCCCAGAGCAGGGGTGGACTGACAACTCATAAGGCCCCCGGGCAACAGGGGATCATGGGGCCCCTGTGTCCTCGCCCACACTCAAACCACACCCACAAAAGCATATGAAAAGGTACCAAGGGCATCTCATGGGGCCCTCTACTGACCCTGGGCCCTCCCCAAATGGTCAGTCCGCCCTGGCCCAGATGAGTATTAGTAGTAGCAGTATATACTAAGATAACTGCTATTTTATTCTTTATTAGAACATACAGGAAAGATAAGAGATTAGAAATGCAGTTTTTTTTTTGTTGTTTTTGTTTTTTAGGGTTTTTTTGTGTCGTTTGGTTTGTTGGTTTACGTTTTATGAATGTTATAGTAATGTTTGTATTTGGTTATGACATATATTATGGTATCTCTTTTTACATTTCTATGTCAGACAAGATAATGAATGACATTCTGCTGTAATGATTATTTATGTGTTTCGTTGTGGAACAAAATATGAAAATGAAATAAATATCTACACTCACCGGCCACTTTATGAGGTCCACCTGTTCAATGGCTTAGTGACACCCACTGCTAATCAGCCAATCACATGGCAGCAACTCAATGCATTTAGGGATCTAGATGTGGTGAAGACGACTTGCTGAAGTTCAAACCGAGCATCAAAATGGGGAAGAAAGGGGACTTAAGTGACTTTTAACATGGCATGGTTGTTGGTGCCAGATGGGCTGGTCTGAGGATTTCACAAATGGCTGATCTCCTGGGATTTTCCTGCACAACCATCTCTGGGGTTTACAGAGAATGGTCCAAAAAAGAGAAAATATCCAGTGAGTGGCAGTTGTGTGGAGGAAAATGCCTTGTTGTTGTCAGAGGTCAGGAGAATGGGCAGATTGGTTCCAGATGATAGAAAGGCGACAGCAACTCCAATAACCCCTCGTTACATCCAAGGTATGCAGAATCCCATCTCTGAACGCACAACACGTCCAACCTTGAAGCAGATGGGCTACAGCAGCAGAAGATAACACCAGGTGCCACAGCTGTCAGCAGAAGACCACACCGGGTGCCACTCCTGTCAGCTAAGAACAGAAAGCGTAGGCTACAATTCACACAGGATCACCAAAATTGGACAATAGAATATTGGAAAAACGTTTGAGGAGTCTGGATTTCAGCTGCAACATGCAGATGGGAGGGTCAGAATTTGGTGTAAACAACATGAAAGCATGGATCCATCCTGCCTTGTATCAATGGTTCAGGCTGGTGGTGGTGGTGTCATGGTGTGGGGGATCCATCCTGCCTTGTATCAATGGTTCAGGCTGGTGGTGGTGTCATGGCGTGGGGGATCCATCCTGCCTTGTATCAATGGTTCAGGCTGGTGGTGGTGGTGTCATGGTGTGGGGGATCCATCCTGCCTTGTATCAATGGTTCAGGCTGGTGGTGGTGGTGTCATGGTGTGGGGGATCCATCCTGCCTTGTATCAATGGTTCAGGCTGGTGATGATGGTGGTGTCATGGTGTGGTGGATCCATACTGCCTTGTATCCATGGTTCAGGCTGGTGGTGGTGGTGTCATGGTGTGGGGGCATTTTCTTGGCACTAGCAAGTTGGACCTAATAAAGTGGCCGGTGAGTGTAATGCTAAAAAAAAAGTGTAGTAGTGATGTAGTATCAGTGTAGTAGCGGAGTAGTAGCGGTGTAGTAGTAGCAGTGTAGTAATGGTGTAGTAGCGGTGTAGTAGTAGCAGTGTAGTAATGGTGTAGTAGTGGTGTAGTAGCGGTGTAGTAGCGGTGTAGTAATGGTGTAGTAGCGGTGTAGTAGCGGTGTAGTAGCGGTGTAGTAATGGTGTGGTAGTAGCGGTGTAGTAGCGGTGTAGTAGTAGCAGTGTAGTAATGGTGTAGTAGCGGTGTAGTAGTAATGGTGTAGTAGCGGTGTAGTAGTAGCAGTGTAGTAATGGTGTAGTAGCGGTGTAGTAGTAGCAGTGTAGTAATGGTGTAGTAATGGTGTAGTAGCGGTGTAGTAATGGTGTAGTAGCGGTGTAGTAGCGGTGTAGTAGTAGCAGTGTAGTAATGGTGTAGTAGCGGTGTAGTAGCGGTGTAGTAATGGTGTAGTAGCGGTGTAGTAGTAGCAGTGTAGTAATGGTGTAGTAGTGGTGTAGTAGCGGTGTAGTAGTAGCAGTGTAGTAATGGTGTAGTAGTGGTGTAGTAGTGGTGTAGTAGCGGTGTAGTAGTAGCAGTGTAGTAATGGTGTAGTAGCGGTGTAGTAGTAGCAGTGTAGTAATAGTGTAGTAGCGGTGTCCATTACAGTGATTTCCAGCTTCTGTTGTCCAGGTACAATATATACAAAGTTGATCCATACTGGAACAATGTAGCTATGTAAATATATCCATACCTGGAATTCGTCCTCTGCGTCCCATAAGCCCCCATTATTGTAGGTGGACTTTTTGCTCCCCTATCAGGAGGTCACCCGACTCTCTTCACCAATTTTTCGGTGGTCGATCTTTCTCTCCCCAGGAGTGATGGGTAATTTCCTGGAGTCGCTGGTTGTCAGAGGCTCTCATCATAAACATCTCAGAATAATTTGGCAGATTAGTGTGAAATGACGGACTCAGCCCGGTCCTGAAAGCCGTATTTGATGTTTTGCAAATTGTTCTGAAATTACAAAATTTCTTTCCGTCAAATACCAGAGCTGTTAGTGGGAGTGTTGGGCGAAATGCCGCGCCGCGGGGGGGGGGGGGGGGGGGGTGATGGGGGGGCTATGAATATGAGAAGACAAAAGAAGATTCAGGAAATCACATTTATTTATTATGTATCTTCTTGTGTTCAGTGCGGAGCTCCATCCCCCATAACATTCAACTTGGTTCTGGCAGTGCTGGACCTGACATAGCCTGTCTGGTCTGGGGGTGCAGAAAAACAAAAGTTGGGGGGTATACTGTCCAGGCAGCTTCGATTTCTTCTCTTCAGCCAGCACTCTCCCTGTCAGAGTCCCCCCTATCACATCAGAGTCCCCCCCATCACATCAGAGGCCACCCATCACATCAGAGGCCGCCCATCACATCAGAGGTCCCCCATCACATCAGAGGTCCCCCATTACATCAGAGGTCCCCCATCACATCAGAGTCCCCCCATCACATCAGAGCCCACAGCACATCAGAGGTCCCCCATCACATCACAGGCCCCCCATCACATCAGAGGTCCCCATCAAATCAGAGGTCCCCCCCATCACATCAGAGATCCTCCCATCACATCAGAGGCCCCCCATCACATCAGAGCCCACAGCACATCAGAGATCCCCCATCACATCAGAGGTCCCCTATCACATGAGAGGTCCCCCCATCACATCAGAAGCCCCCTCCCATCACATCAGAGGTCCCCCATTGTGACGATCACGGTGTCAGACCCCCACCATTCTCACCAAACTCGTGACCGAAGGACTAGCCAATCTAAAACCGCGATGTCACGTGCATAACAATGCCACGCCCAGCTGCGCGCTGCACACAGATTTGCAAGCTAATGGACCACAGTATGTGTACCGGCAGCCTGGGAGCGATTGTTACTGGGTCAGGTTAATTACGCAATTAACTCTTCACACTGCCACTACCTCCTTTTTGTACAGAGAAAGAGGAAACTCGGCAATATCAGCAATAACACTAGGATGGTTGAAATAATTGTCTGTATAGCACTGTCACCGCAGGCAGGTTATACAGAGGGTTAAACACACACAGTAGTGCTCATCAGTGGCAGGAATTCGTAAGTTGCATTAAAGAGCTTTAGAAACAGTTCGAAACTGAGTGAGAGACCAGAAATCCTTTTTGAGCTCATAAGACTTGAAACAGCTTAAACCCAGGCTGATTGGCAAGTACTTTAACCCTTTAAACTCCTTTCTGTTATCTCTTTGCTGTGCTATTGTTCTCTGTATATTTATATATATATATTGGCTACATCTGTTTCTGTAAATATTTTTATTGCACCCTTTTGACCATTTAGTAATAAATCTTTCTTTCTGAAAGTGTTGATGTTAAACAGGAGACTCTTCTTTCTCTCACAAACCACACACATAACTCCAAGCATAACAGCCTTTTTCTAGCAAATCCACATGGTGTCTCCCTGGAGCAGTGAACCCAATCGTCTCCTTTTGGGGAGGGAAGTGTAGGTGGAGCCTTAAGTTATGATCAGAAACTCTCGTAGCTTCTATTTTGGCCCACAACTTTTTCTCGGGGCATTTGGCAGCCTGGCCACTAGTATATTAATACTCAGCCGCATCTGCGGAATGGTTAGAGATAAAACATGTCATATCTACTTGAATGGTTCAGGAGATATACTTTCCTGCCCTCCTATATATTCCACCTAGGGAATATAATATATCAAACGGTTTGTATTAGTTTAACCAATCTGAAGATATGCCTGGTTTTTATGTAAGTCTCTCATATTCCAAGATTTGAAATCATAGGGGAAATGGATTTTGAATGTGGTGTCTAGTTTATTACTTCTCTGGAATGTCTTTGAACTCAGTGAAGGGCTTGGTTTACGCTTTTACGATGTCCCAGATTGCACAGCCAACAGACAGCTAGGCCCCAGTTCCCTTGGGGGGTTTTATAGCTCGGAGCTCCCTGCTGTGCTTTGGCTGCCTGTGACCTCTGTCATCACTCAGGCCACATGTCACCCCACAGCGAGGGAGGGGGGATGAGGAAAGATATAATTGTACAAGATGGACGTTCCTTTGCCAAGATGGAGGTTCGTATCCATCTCTGTGTGCACGCTTGCTACACCCATCACATCAGAGGTCCGCCCACCACATCAGAGTCCCTCCATCACATCAGAAGCCCCCCATCACATGAGAGGTCCTACCGTCACATCAGAAGTCCCCCATCACATCAGATCCCACAGCACATCAGAGGTCTCCCATCACATCAGAGGTCCCCCCATCACATCAGAGGTCCCCCCATCACATCAGAGTCCCCCCCCCATCACATCAGAGGTCCCCCCCATCACACCAGAGGTCCGCCCACCACATCAGAGTCCCTCCATTACATCAGAAGCCCACCATCACATGAGAGGTCCTACCGTCACATCAGAAGTCCCCCATCACATCAGAGGTCCCTCATCACATCAGAGGTCCCTCATCACATCAGAGGTCCCCCCATCACATCAGAGGTCCCCCCATCACATCAGAGGTCTCCCCCATTACATCAGAGCCCACAGCACATCAGAAGTCCCCCATCACATCAGAGGTCCCATCACATCAGAAGTCCCTCATCATATCAAAGGTCCCCATCACATCACAAGTCCTCCATTAATCCAAGGCCCCCCATCACATCAAAGGTCCCCCATCACTTCAGAGTCTTCCCATCATGTCAGAGGTCCCCCATCACATCATAGCTCGCCCCATCACATCAGTGGTCCCCCCATCACACCAGAAGCCCCCTCCCATCACATCAGAGGTCCTTCTATCACTTCAGAGTCCCCCCATCACATCATAAGCCCCTTCCCATCACATCAGAGGTCCCCCATAACATCAGAGTCCCTCCATCACATCAGAAGCCCCCCCATCACATGAGAGGTCCTCCCATCACATCAGAAGTCCCCCATCACGTTAAAACCATCCTTGTTACTCACACATCATGGACATGAATATCATGGTAAAGGGGATAGGGGCCACACCGGTCCTGGGGTGGAGGAAAAAAACCTAAATCAGGGGTGCACAGCCCACCCTGGATTGCAGCCTTGTTGCAGAGCCTTGTGGAAGATACCATTGAAAAACCAGGCTGACCTCCTGCAGGCTGGAGGCGGTAAGGGAACTCAAAGGAGTGAGCAGGGGCGGACTGACAACTCCTGGGGCCCCCGGGGATCATGGGGCCCCTGTGTCCTTGCCCACACCCAAAAAAGCCTATGAAAAAGCCAAGGGAAGGTACCAGGGGCAACTCGTGGGGCCCCCTACTGACTCCGGGCCCTCGGGCAGTGCCAGAGTACTCGAATGGTCAGTCCACCCCTGGGAGTGAGTATACCTTGCTGGGGGAACGGAGATTGCTACTCCGCCCTAAATGAACAGGTGAGAGCGTCTCTATAACATTCCATGGAAAAAAAACGCGAATATCAAATCGATAAATTTCACCCTTCGCTTGTAGCACAGAGCTAAGAAGGAAAAGTACCTACGCTGGGCTCTGCTGACCTCAGACTAAGCCACAGGTCCTTCCATTTCATGGAGGAAATTCTCTGCTCATTCCTATCTAGATATATCGGTGTGTCTAGCGGAGGTCACACTGCGGAGATGCCATCTTCTTTTTCCAACCCTAAACTCCAACCTACAAGAACTCAGTGACCAAAATTGTGAGTTTCTGTGAAATTTCCTCACCATCAAAACCATTACTGTTCATGCAAAATGAATATTGCCACAAATGTCTCTGCTCATCCCTTTGTAGATATAATATATTGGCATCCCTAGCAGAGGTCACACTGTGGAGATGCCAAATTTCATACCCTAAACTCCAACCTACAAGGACTCACTGAACAAAATTGGGATCTTCTATTCAATTTTGCCAAATCAAAATCAGTAAATTTTTATGCAAAATAAATTTTGCCAAATTCTTTCTGCTTATCCCAGTTTAGAAGTATCAGCTTGTCTAGCCGAGGTCACTGTGGAGAGGCCATGCCATAGTTCCAAACCTAAACACCAACTTACAAGGACCAAAATCGAGGAGCTTCCACAAAATGTTGTAACATTGAAATCAAATCAATATTTTTCTTGCAAAATATTTTTTTTTACCAAATCTCTCGGTTTATTCCTATTTAGAAGAATCAGCATGTCCATCCGAGGTCACACTGTGGAGATACCTTGACAATTTTCCAATCTAATCAATTTAAGCAGCCAATGAAAACGTTGAGAACCTCCACAAACTTTCACCAGCATCAAACTTAGTATTTTGTTGCCAAAATCTCTCTTCTCGTTATTTAGAAGTATTGGTGTGTCTAGTAGGTCACACTGTGGAGATGCCATGCCAAATTTCCAACCCAACATGTCACCCTGGAGGATGTAGCCTCCCTAGCGGTCTGATTATGTCCATATTTCTGTGCTCAAAGCGGTACATTTTTTTGCATGGAAATATGTTGTTTATTTATTGTAGGCTGTAATTCTTAGGAATAACTCCCTGAAATCTGTCCGGACAAGAGTCTAGTAAACATCCCGGGGAGGATAAAATTTGAAACACAAAAACATAAATTATAATTTAATAAATAATCATAAAAAATAATAATATAATAATAATAAATGTAATTCAATAATATAATCAAACCAAAAACACTGAAATGTGAAATAGAGCGCCAAGTTGGCACATCGCTGAGCTCAGTCGCAGAATCGTTTTCAGTGTCTGATGAGGAATTTCCCCCACGAATCATTATCACTCAATTCTGCAAGTGGTTCTGATTTACTATCGCTGTTCTCTAGCCGGTCTAAAAACCGCGTCTGACCTAAAGGGACGCTTTTTGGATGCCATGGACGTTTCTCAGTTTCCAGGCAGAAAGGGCGGTAAAAAAGCAGGCAGGACGCCGGACAAAGCACTCGGGACAAAATGTATGTGAAATGGTTTGATACAGGAATGTTATACGATGTGATTTTAGTGAATTTAGTGAATGTGACTTTTACAATTTTCAAATTTCCCGCCAGTTCCGTCCGTCCCCCGTACGTCCCGACGTCGCAGGGAACGGAACCCGGAAGATAGATGCCGGCATCGGCCGGAGGACATTACAGGGGACACTGCAGGAGGGACACAATGTATGTGAAATGGTTTGATACAGGAATGTTATACTATGTGATTTTAGTGTATTTAGTGAATGTCACTTTTTGACATTTTTGAATTTTCCGCCGGTTCCAGCCCCCGTACGTCCCGACGTCGCAGGGAACGGAACCCGGAAGACAGATGCCGGCATCGGCCGGAGGAGATGGCTGGGGACACTGCAGGGGGGACATCACGGGAGCGCAGGACAAGGTAAGTGCTGGAGGGATCCTGGAGCAACGCTGCAGTGTATTCCCGAGTGTAGCTCGGGGGGGGTTACCGCTTGTGGTGCTGAAACTTTACCCCGAGCTACACTCAGGAATACCGCCAGGGGGGTTAATAAACAAAGTTGCGTGTTTCCACAAAATTTTGTGAATTTAAAAGGCAAAATTAATTTTGACAAAATCTCTCTTCTCAATCCTGTCTATTATTATTATTATTATTATACAGGATTTATATGGCGGCAGAAGGTTCGCTCAGCGCTGTACATTATAGTGGGGACAGAACATGAGACAATACAGTAACAATACAATACATGAGGGGTTCGAGGGCTTGATCTTTAGAGCTTACAATCTAGGAGGGAGGGGATAGTGGCACAGGAGGAAATGGCTGTGGGGGATGGAGTTGTAGGAGGAGTGGAGGAGATCGGATGTTAGGTGAGGGTGGGGTAGGCTTTTCAGGGTGCACCTAAAGGTGAGGAGGGTAAGTGACAGTCTGATGGATTGGGGTAGTGAGTTCCAGAGGATGGGGGAAGTCCTGGAGAAGTCCTGAAGTCGGGCATGGGAGGAGGTGACCGGGGAGGTAGAAAGTAGGAGGTCTTGTGAGGAGCGAAGGGTACAGGTTGGGTGGTATTTGGGTATCAGGTCGGTGAGGTAGTTCGGGGTAGTGTTGTGAATAGCTTTGTTTGTCAGCGTTAGTAGTTTGAATTTAATGCGTTGGGCAATCGGAAGCCAGTGGAGGGAATGACAGAGGGGGTGGAGGACGCTGAGTGGAGGCCAGTGGAGGGAATGACAGAGGGGGTGGAGGACGCTGAGTGGAGGCCAGTGGAGGGAATGACAGAGAGGGGTGGCGGACACTGAGTGGAGGCCAGTGGAGGGATTGGCAGAGAGGGGTGGCGGACACTGAATGGAGGTCAGTGGAGGGATTGGCAGAGAGGGGTGGAGGACACTGAATAGAGGCCGGTGGAGGGATTGGCAGAGAGGGGTGGAGGACACTGAATGGAGGTCGGTGGAGGGATTGGCAGAGAGGGGTGGAGGACACTGAATGGAGGTCGGTGGAAGGATTGGCAGAGAGGGGTGGAGGACACTGAATGGAGGTCGGTGGAGGGATTGGCAGAGAGGGGTGGAGGACACTGAGTGGAAGCCAGTTTAGGGACTGGCAGAGAGGGGTGGAGGACACTGAATGGAGGCCGGTGGAGGGATTGGCAGAGAGGGGTGGAGGACACTGAATGGAGGTTGGTGGAGGGATTGGCAGAGAGGGGTGGAGGACACTGAATGGAGGTCAGTGGAGGGATTGGCAGAGAAGGGTGGAGGACACTGAGTGGAGGCCAGTGGAGGGATTGGCAGAGGGGGGTGGAGGCCAGTGGAGGGATTGGCAGAGAGGGGTGGAGGACACTGAATGGAGGCCAGTGGAGGGATTGGCAGAGGGGAGTGAAGGACACTGAGTGGAGGCCAGTGGAGGGACTGGCAGAGGGGGGTGGAGGACACTGAGTGGAGGCCAGTGGAGGGATTGGCAGAGAGGGGTGAAGGACACTGAGTGGAGGCCAGTGGAGGGATTGGCAGGTGGGGTGGCAGAAGCGGAGCGGTTGGTGAGGTGGATGAGTCTGGCCGCTGAGTTCAGGATAGACTGAAGCGGGGATAGTCTGTGATGAGGGAGGCCGTGAGGAGGGAGTTGCAGTAGTCCAGACATGAGATAATAAGGGAGTGGGTGAGTTGTTTAGTAGTGTCTGGGGTGAGGAACGGACGTATTTTGGAGATGTTACGGAGTCTATGAGTATGAGCATGTCTAGCAAAGGTCGCACTGTGACGATGCCAAGTCAAATTTCAAAATCTAAATTCCAACCTACAAGGATCAACTAAATAAAATGAAAAAAAAAAACATCAAAATTAGTATTTTTGATGCAAAGTAAACATTGCCAACATCTCTCTGCTCATCCCTCATTGGATATATTGGCGTCTAGCAGAGGTCGCACTGTGAAGATGCCAAATTTCCAACCGTAAACATCGATCTACAAGGACTCAATTAACAAAATTAAGACCTTCCATGAAATTTCACCAACATCAAAATCAGTATTTTTGATACAAAATGAATGTTACCAAAATCTCTCTGCTGCGCATCGCTATTTAGGTATATTGGCGTGTCTAGCAGGTCACGCTGTGAAGATGAGGCGCCAAATCCCCAACCCCGCGTGCCAGCCTACAAGGACTATTGCACAAATCCAACCCTGTCTACACTCGGCCAATTGGATACAGCGGTAATTGCCTTCAATCCCCATTACCGAGCCTTACCACCGCCAGGCCGCTTTGCATGCTTTCGCCGTATTACGCCTCATTCCGAGAGACGCTGTCGCCTTGAAAGATTAGCTTCCTGCAGACCAGGTTCTTTGAAAGCCTAACTGGAGTGAAGAGGACATTAAACGAAATTATCATTTTAAATATGCTTGTGTTTCACGAGATAGTCGCCGGGGGTCGAGAGGAGCGTTATTAAATGACGCTTCCACCAAGGTCTAAAATTGGTTCGGCTGGGAAACAACCTGTCAAAAGACAAGCTTATTGCGAGAAAAGGCCTATCTGCTTCTACGGGAGAAGGCCTCGGGGCGTCCTTTTATTTCAATTTCAAAGCCGGCACACGAGATAAAAAAAAAAAAAAGAAAGGGCGATATGCGAAAGAGGAGGGAAAAAAAAAATATATATATAAATATATATATATGACAGGACGGTTCAATCTTCTTGTTGGCTGGTAAAAAGAAAGTGGAGTCTGAGAGATCTGGCAATTACAGTGACTAGCGCGGCGTTCGTTGTATTTCCCGCTGCCGTAACACCTTATTAAATACTGTTCTGCCAAGCTGTTTGCGCACGCTGAGATGAAGCATCTGATAAATTGTCCTTTTATCCCGTATTTGTAAGTAAACACCTGTCTCATCCTGCAGATACAGCGGCATCAAGTAATCATCTCCTATAAAACAAGCTGTCTTTAAAGCTTAATTCCCCCAACATATCTTTTAGTTTTGGTTTGGGTGGATTAGAAGCTCTGCCCGTTGCAGACATTGCCCTTCACTATCTGTCTCCTTTCCCAACTCTTCCCAAACGTTAACACGTAATTTAAAAAACAAAAACAAAATGGCGCCCTTCGGGTCCTTATAATAAAAAGCGGCTTGGGCTGTAATACTCACCTTCATTCCGGAGCTGTCCCCCAGAGTACTTCTCGTTGGCTACTTTGTTATAGTACTCACAGGATCCCTTCTGAGAATTCCAGGTTTCCCAGGACCTCCAAAACCTCTAGGGGTCTCCAGAATTTCTCAGCACGCATCAGTGTACGCCAGCATTTGCTAATGGCGTTGGGGACATCCTCCGACTAGAAGGGTATTTAAACTGGTTGGTGGTGAGAGCTAAAGCACCATAATACTTACCTGCCAGCTGCCTGTTTGCTGCCTACCCAGACTGACCTATTTACTCTTTTGCTCGCCATCTGCCAAGACCCCTATGTGGACTTGACTACTCTCTTGCTTGCTGTCTCCCAATATCCCTGTCTGGTCCTGACTACTCTCTTGCTTGCCACCTGCCACGACCTCTGCCTGGACCTGACTACTTTCTAGCTTGTCTCCTGCAAAGACTCTCCCTAGATCGGACTACTCTTCATTGGCCTGTCATCTGCCAAGACCTCTGCTTGGACCTGAAAATTTTCTTGCTTGCTGTCTGCCGAGACCCCTACCTGGACCTGACTACTCTCTCGCTTGCCATCTGCCAATACCCCTTTCTTGATCTTACTACTCTCTTGCTTGCTGCCTGTTAAGACCTCTGCCTGGACCTGTCTACTCTTATATTTGTTGCCTGCCAAGACCCCTGCCTGGACCTGATAACTCTCTAGCTTGTTGCCTACCAAGATCCCTCCTTGATTCTGACTACTCTTTGGCTTGCTACCTACCAAGATCCAATCCTGGACATGACTACTCTTTTGCTTTCCATCTGCCAATACCCCTGCCTGGACCTGACAACTCTCTAGCTTGTCGCTTGCCAAGACCCCTTTCTGGATCTGACTACTCTTTTGCTTGCCACCTGCCAAGACTCCTGCCTGGACCTGACAACTCTCTAGCTGGTTGCCTACCAAGAACCCTCCTTGGTTGTGACTACTCTTTGGCTTGCCATCTGCCAAGACCCCTGCATGGACCTGACTACTGTCTTGCTTGCCACCTGCCAAGACCCCTATGTGGACCTGACTACTCTCTAGCTTGTCTCCTGCCAAGACTCTCCTTAGATCTGACTACTCTTCATTGGCCTGTCATCTGCCAAAACCCCTGCTTGGACCTGACAATGCTTGCTCTCTGCCGAGACCCCTACCTGGACCTGACTACTCTCTCGCTTGCCATCTGCCAATAACCCTTTCTTGATCTTACTACTTTCTTGCTTGCCGCCTGTTTAGACCTTTTCCTGGACCTGACTACTCTTTTACTTGCCGCATGCCAATACCCCTCCTTGGTTCTGACTACTCTTTGGCTCTCCATCTGCCAAGACCACTGCCTGGACCTGACTACTCTTGTGCTTGCCGTCTGCCAATACCCCTGTTCGGTCCTGACAACTCTCTAGCTTGTTGCCTGACAAGACCCCTTCCTGGATCTGACTACTCTCTGAGCTTGTCGCCTGCTAAGACCCCTACCTTGATCTGACTACTCTTTTGCTTGCCGTCTGCCAAGACCCCTGCCTAGACCTGAAACTCTCTAGCTTGTTGCCTACCAAGATCCCTCCTTGGTTCTGACTACTCTTTGGCTTGTGATCTGCCAAGACCCCTGCCTGGACCTGACTACTGTCTTGCTTGCTACCTGCCAATACCCCTGCCTGGATCTGACAACTCTCTAGCTTGTTGCTTGCGGAGACCCCTTTCTGGATCTGACTACTCTTTAGCTTGTTGCCTGCCAAGACCCTTCCTTGGATCTGACTACTCTTTTGTTGGCCAGCTGTAAAAGACCCCTGCCTGGACCTGACTACTGTTTTGCTTAACCTACCAAGACCTCTGCCCAGATCTAACTGCTCTCTTGCCTTATTACGTTATGAACAGTTACTGAATTGTATCCTAATCTTTTACAGGCAACTAACCACATACCACGAATTAATATTTAGGATCTGGCAACTCTTATCCACGTTCACCAAACCTCTGGAGCTGCACACCACTTCCGAAGGGTAAAATCAGCTCCCTTCTAATGCATTTTGCCTCCTGCTTAAGAAGAGTCTATTGAACGTCACTGGAAATTGATGGTTGCTCCAACTTTTGCCACCAAAAGTTGCCAACATTCACCTTGAGCAAATTGGCATGACCCCCGATGAAACTCATCGAAGACAAATCAGTTCGCTCAGGGGGAACGTTACCTCTTAGCACTCTGGGCATTTTGAAGTTGCGCCTTCATGACATCTGTAAGCAGCCCACGCCATGAGAGTCAACTCTAGACTACCAATTCTTTAGATCTTCTCTGACTGTAGAAGGAGCTCTGTCATCGAACCTAATGACCAATCCTCTACTAAATGACCTGAAATGGTCAATGCCTTGGGGAGAATGGAACGTTTTGCTGGCCACCACTGAAACGTCTCTTAAACATCACTGGAAACTGACGGTTTCTCCAACTTTCGCTACCAAAAGCTGCCAACATTCACCTTGAGCAAATTGGTACGACCCTCCAAATGAAACTCACCGTGGACCAATCAGTTCGCTCAGGTCAGAACCTTACCTCTTAGCAATCTCTGGGCTTTTCAGAGTTGTGCCTTCGAGACACCTGTAAGCAGCCGGCGTCATGCCGCTGAACTCTTGACTGCCAATTCTCTAGATCTCCTCTGGCTGTAGAAGGAGCTCCATAATTGAATCTGATGACCAGTCCTCTACTAAATGACCAGAAATGGTCAATGGCATGAGGAGAATAGAATGTTTTGCTGACCACCACTGAAGAGTCTATTGAACGTCACTAGAAATTAATGGTTGCTCCAACTTTTTCCACCAAAAGTTGCCAACATTTACCTTGAGCAAATTGGCACGACCCCCGATGAAACTCATTGTGGAGAAACCAATTTGCTTGGGTGGAATGTGACCTCTTAGCAATCTCTTGGCATTTCAGAGTTGCGCCTTCACAACACTTGTTAGCAGCCCAAGCCATGCCAGTCAACTCTAGACTACCAATTCTCTAGATCTCCTCTGGCTGTAGAAGGAGCTCCGTCATCGAATCTGATGACCAATCCTCTACTAAATGACCTGAAATGGTCAATGCCTTGGGGAGAATGGAACGTTTTGCTGGCCACCACTGAAGAGTCTATTGAACGTCACTGGAAACTGACAGTTGCTCCAACTTTTGCCACCAAAAGCTGCCAATATTCACCTTCAGCAAATTGACACGACCCTCCTGATGAAATTCATCGTGGACCAATCAGTTCGCTCAGGCGGAACGTTACCTCTTAGCAATCTCTGGGCTTTTCAGAGTTGCACCTTCATGACACCTGTAAGCAGCCCAAGCCATGCCAGTCAACTCTAGACTACCAATTTTTTAGATCTCCTCTGGCTGTAGAAGGAGCTCCGTCATCGAATCTGATGACCAGTCCTCTACTAAATGACCAGAAATGGTGAATGGCATGGGGA